ACAACAAGAAGTCATACAAAATCATGAGAATGAACATGTTCGCGGTATAGGACAAGGTGAAGCCAGACACAGAAAATATAAGAGGCTTGAACTTGGCGGTGGTCAAGCTTATGACCGTTCAAATAACTAAGTTTTCGTTAAGTTCTGTAAGTTAGGCAATATAGTTATCCGAAACATTGAACCTAATCTGCAAGACTACACGGTGTTACTAACCCAGAACATCACAGTCTGAAGGATATAAGAGTTCGAATTGCAAGTGAATTTGGTGTTTCACCAGAAGAACCCAGATTAATATCAAGAACGTAGGTCAAACACGAGTCGAATACACACCTCCACATGAAATTCGTACTAAGAAAGGAAAATATTGCAAACGTAAGCTTCCCTTCCACATAATGATTACTCAGGCACGCATTCAGCACATTGTCAAATGTTTATTTCCTTTGTCCTCCAAATAATCAGACTTCGCCTTGCATCCCACAAAGTCGCCTACAAGAATAACGTAGAAAAAATAAAACAACATTAGAATTCTCGTGGTAAACATTCAAATCAGAATTTCCTTATTTATTTATTTTTTTTTAATTCGCTTAGTGGGAGATGGAGTCCAACTGGGTCCACTCGACACGGCGGCCACTGATTGGCCTATTGTAGCCTTTCCTGGGTGATTATGATGATGGAGAATTTAGTGGAGTGAAGATTGGCAGGGCAATCGAAGTACTTGGAGAAAACCGGCCCTAGCGCCACTTTGTCTACCACAAATCCCACTTGACCAAACACGGGAGCGAACCCGGGCCCCCGCGGTGGGAAGCCAGCGACTAACCGCTTGAGCTGTGGCGCGGCCCTAAGGCCCTATTTCCCTAAATAAGGAAATGTAAAACTTTTACTTGCTTTGACGTATTACCCGTATTTCATTAACCTTTTGGGAATTTTTTATATTGGGAAGGAAGTAGTAGACTCAGAAGCTTTAAACTGTTACAGGATTCATCAGTAATCTGAAATCTTAATGTAATTATTAATTTTCCAGGCATGGGGATTGCTTTGCTCATGTTATAACCCATTCTCTGAATCTTCATTCTGTTTTTATATAAAGTCATTATGTGGAATTCTCATAAATTCCTTAAACAAGCATTGTCTTACTATTGTATGAAATTAAATTTGGATGACGCATCCGAGGACATGGTCTGCCCTATGTTCTCCTCCTCCTGCCTCCTCTGCTTCTAACTAAATACGTGGGTTACTTCAAAAGTCATGGCAACACACTTTTTTTCCGAAATTTCGAAAACTCCGACAAGAATTTCCAAATTTGCCGCTGAGAGACAGCAACGTCTGATTTATAATGATGCCGCTAGATGATGCGGAAGTCCAAGTACAACGAAGCGAGTCCAGCGCGAAGTCAGCGTGATCATAACCTTCGTCGAGAATGAACGTAGGTGGTTGGAACAGCGTTGTTACGTGAAAATAGCAGTGCTTCGCGGCAGAAATGTTACTGAATGTCACTCAGAGCTCGTGGAAGATCTGGATGATCGTACTCTACCATACAGAACTGTTGCAAGGAGAATAGAAGCATTCCAGCGTGGAAGAGAAGCGAGTGCCGACTTGCAACGTAGTGGACCGCCCACACAGCAAACCGTGTCAAGAACTGTTTACGACGTTGTGGATGGGAAGTATAGGTGGGACGGTCGATTTTGGCCGGTGGATCTCTGATGCGTAGTGGTCTGATGCAAGTCGGCGAGCCTAAGATTTGTGGGCATGCGCAGTGACACTATGTTGCCTCAGTAAGAAGGTAGACGTTGAGCTCATAGGATCGCTCTTACTAGTAGATACTGTGTGCTTTTCCCACGTGCCAGTTGCTAGTTGCCAGTGCCAGCCTACGAATGTTCCCTCTGCAGAAGAAGCAAGTTCGTAGCATAGACTCGCTCTCATGCGCTGACAGTGAAGGACACCGGCCAAAAAGTATCGGCAGGCTTATACTACACCAGCCTCCGTGTTCACCCGACCTTTCGCCACGTGACTATGACTTAATACCCAAATTGAAACTGCCATTACGAGGGAAACGCTTTCGTACACGAGAGGACATTTCGAATCAGTTCGGCGTGAGATGACAAGATTTGGAGATGGTGAAGCTGATGGTATTCGCCGTCTTCCTCATCGCTGGCAGCGAGTACTTGATACACCTGGAGACTACTCGTACTTTGAAGGTTGCTAGTCGTAATGTAAGAATTCAGATTTAACTCACATTGAATTTCTTATTTCTTAACCACAATTGGAATTTTCGAGGATTAAAGAAAAAAAAAACAGTCGTTCCGCAATGTGCAATTTTTCTTGCCTACTATACCTACGCCCCTTCACATCTACCTGATCTGACTAAGCCAATCGGAGTGGTATATCGTGCCCTTTCATAGTATATTTTGAACTTTCTTCACTGTAACGTGTTTGCCCCCCAAAAAATTAGTTGCCGTGACTTTTGAAGTAACCCACCTATATTACTATATAAACAGCAGATCAATCTAACAGATCATCTACCAAACATCTTAGAACTTTTACATCCGAAAGGGAAATGGCGGCCAGCAATCCATTACAGTGTAAATGAAATCTGCCCTTTCTCCAAAGTGTTTCACATTGCTGAAACTAATTACCATGGTGTAACACGATGCATATGTAAGCTCGACAGAAGATGTGAATATCCAGTTTCATCTTTTCACCTCTCTGCCACCCATGAAGCCCCAAAAGCCTACAGGATAGGAGACGTGGTGGGCCATGAAGTCGTTCTGGACCTTCTGGGCATTTCGAGATAGGCAAAGTAAAAGAATGGCAGTTTGGGATCTGTACTCTTTCGACATATGCCAAAAGGAGGTTTGAGGCACAGATTAGAAAGTGCATCCATGCATGAGAAATGAAAATATCGAACGATGTATGAAATGTGAGGTTCACACGGCGAAGAATGTTTGGGTTATTTTTTTTTCTGGAATGTGACGCCATGTAATTTGGTAATAGGTGCCAACGTTTCTGAGGAATTTGGTGCCTGCATTTGCAGACAAAGAAAGGAACGAAACAGTTGTAAAATACATATTGTGGTGCAGAATTCTTCTAGAAAACGCATTTTAGAGGTTAATATCTCGCCATTTTCAGAATCGTGTTCCAAAAGATTGTGGTCACATTCCAAAATTGAAGTGAACGTGACGAGTCGCGATACCTCTGTGACTGAAGTGACTGGTTATGGACCGGACAGGCTGGTTACAATTCCGACAACGTCCATTATACCATCGCACTGAGAACGGCCCATTCATACTGTCTAGAGGGTTACTTTGCCATTTGACTCTGTTACTACCGGGGATTATAAAGAGAGAGAGAGAGAGAGAAAGTGTGTGTGTGGACTGTTTGTAGGTTTGGTACGGGCTCGTAGGTTGTTCAGTGACATTGGGTCTGAGGTTAATTAGTGCTAGGCGTGCTGAGTAACACGAGAGGTCAGTTATGTACAGTGAGATAAGAGGATCTTTTCATGTTAAGGTGTTTACGTGGAGGAACTGAAGAAAACCATCAGCGTCAGAATATACAGTGCCTGGCATTGAAACGAATCCGTCGGTTATCTCCCCCCCCAACCCCTTTTTTTTGGCTTGGGGAGTTGCAAATTCATATATCTCCCCTTATGGATTCTTGAAAAAGTGACAAAATCTAAAAGAGACAGATATATATCAAATATTAACATTAAAATTAAAGGTAATTAGAGACTAAGGTGATGAGTACAACAGTTTTAAATGGTTTGAACACGGAGTTGTAAGAGAATATTCTTGTTTCCTTCTTTGACGAAATGGCTTCCTTTCCTGGAAATAATCTTGGCTGTGCCTGTGTGTGTGTACCAGAAATATGTGGTAGATGGACACTGACTGTAACAAAGTATGTATAGTTCTCCGTGTATTTTCTGAATCATCAAACTTGTGGGCATGTCAAATCATCACAGCCACAATTGCAATTGATGACATCCGACTGCAGAATGGCTTGGGAATGGCTGAATTTCTGGCGTTGTAACAATGCAGGTTGTGTTGATCCCGTTTTGAGGTGATGCCACTACGGAAATGGTCTGCGTTGCCAGTGTTTCGGAAAAACATACTGCCTTCGTCTTCAAGTTCTAAGACTTACACAAGGTGCTATCACCCAAAAAATATTAATAGCACTACGGAATCACAGTGAAAAGTAATAGGTCATGAATACATCAAGTTTCGTATGATTTTCTTTAATAGAAGTACTTTAATGGATTAAGGGAAATCACATGGAACTGTTTGATGTAAACAGTACCCCAAATCTCTTTTAACCCTCTGCAACTTCGAGGTAAAATCCACTATGTACGTATCGTGTACTACAGTCAACTTCCGCTTCTCTATAAACCACTGTGCCCTAGGAGTTACAAAATGGCTGTCAGGTAGTCTTGAGGCTTCCCATCATTAGTCCTTTCAGAAGGCAGTTATAATTAGAGTGGAGGATTGGTGCAGTGACCAGTTGCAGCATGTACAAAATCGTGTTGGCTCTCTGGATATATCCGTGGGATTGAATTCAAAGATCTTGAGTGCTAATTCTACGGAACCTTTGTGACAATTCTCTTTCCCGTTTTTATTGATAAACATACTACAATAGAACAGCATAATTTGTGAGCGGCTGTCTGTAGCTTCCGAAGTGCAATAACATCCAGTTTGTTTCAGAGATTGTGGTTAATATGAAGGACGTGTTTTGTGCAGTTTTTTTCTTCCAGCGTTATCAAGAGACGATGAGCAAGGCGCTTAACCCTCATATCACACTGATGTGCTATTAACGCATGGTTTCCATGTTGTAAGTATTAACAGGGTATTGTACTAATTTGTATTTGTATCACATCTCATCTTATGGAAGAAAACAGGCAATATTACATGTAAAAGAAATATCATAATATGATTCTGAAAATTCTGAACTGGCCTCTTACAATGATGCTGGAGGGAAAATCTTCGAGTAGCCCAAACAAAATATCGTCATTCTAGAAACAGATATTGATGGGAGTGGCATTTAGACTGTGGCCAGTACTGACGCCATTCTAGGGCCACAGATGGATTTATCTTCCTAGTTTACGAAGGGATAATGAGCAGACAAGAAACTGCGTTATGCCTTATGAAGATGACTCACAGGTGCATAATGTTGCTGAGTAGAATGCAGTTCATGGAAGAAGAGCTGGGACACACACTATTCGTCATCCTGAAAAGAAGTCCATTGTGTAATGACTGCCAATGAAATGATTACAATTCTTAACAAACAAAGTAAGTGGAATTTTTAAGGGCGGAAAAATTCAGGGAACAAGTCCTCCGGGAGGGACTTTAAGCCGTGGGTCCCGTGTCGTAGCTTTACGGCACGTAAAAGAACCTCATGTCCCAAGGGGATCTCTGAGCCAAATTCAGGACATTTCCCGCCCAAAAGTAGTCTCTAACGCCTCTGGTAGATGGGGGAAGCATCGAGATACCGCTGGGCCAGTAGAGGCCGAACTCGCTGGCTGAGTCGGGACTGATGGCACGCACCAGTACCGGTAGGGTATAGGGACTGGTAGAATATCACAGGGGGACGCACAGTGGACCAATATTTGGTCTAAGTGCATGGGGAAACCCACCCTCTCCAATAACAACAACAACAACAAGTGGAAAGAGACCCATATAAAGCAGTGAATGTTACCCCCAGTGAAATTGAGCAGTTTCTGGGTTCCTTGTTCATATATGGGGTGCTACATACTGAAATGTTCTGGAGGAGAGGAACACAGTGGGAGTGGGAGCCATGTGATGGGAAAGACAGAAGGATAACACCATTTACTTTGCATAAATCAAGTGCCTGGTGGCTCAGATGGGATGAATGGTTGTCAAGGAAGAGCAACACAGGATCATCTTTGGTAGGTTTAGTATGGTGAATGAAATATTTAATGTACTGGACAAAGGATTCTTCATTAATTCAACCAGATCCTGTGACGGCTCCAATACAACCTGCTAGACTGTCTCATTCGAAATTATATAAAAAATGATGTCTTTTAAGTACTAACATGGTGGAGGGGGGGAGAACTTGACCTAGGTGATAACTGCCACTACAACAGTTATTAGTTCTCCTTACTCTGCACTGGTCATGGTTTCTACCCTTTAACCCCCCTTCCAGCTACATTTTTATTCGGTTTCGCTACCATTGTTCTTCCCATTTCATCCATGTTCCAGATTTTACTGTCAACGAGTGGATATCTTGAAAGTGCTTTGGAAACTTTGTCCTAAAATTGTTTCACAGTTCTTTATTAAAATCTGTCATTCTTGCCAAACTTGTCAATTCAAGCTGTCTTGGAGACATTTAATATGGAGTCAGTATCCAAAATTTTAGCTTACTAACATTCTCTCTTCTTATGTACAGTATTTACCATTTTTCTAGACTGATTTTATTTTTTTATAATAATTCTGTATTTTAATGCATATTATTTGCTTCTTCAATGACATCAGTTAAAACTTTTCCATATATGTGGTAGTGAATTTTCACTGTTTTGTTGTTACTAGTGCAGCTATATAGGTACACATCTAATTTATGTTTACAACAGGGTTTGAACCCTTTGGCTAACTAATTATTATTTTTGAACACCCTATTATCTGCTTTGGTGAAAAATTCTGAACCTACATAATGCCTACCTAATACTTACTACTTATTCCCAGGTTACATTACTTACATATGTTCTACATGCTTTAGCAATGCCATTGTTCATAAGTCTGGTTAGATTCTCACAATTATAATATAAAATCAATCCAATATTTTTAATAACTAAAAGTTTAGTATTATGATCAGATAATCTGTCACTGTATCTGTATAAATACTATCTTTCCTGGGGTTTATATAATATTATCAGTGGCAGTAGTGAAGTAATTTTAAATTATTGTGGGGAAATCAGCTACTGATATAAGATTGAACAATGTTAGTAGTTAGTTGAGACACTGTCTGTGGTAACTTTCTGTCAGAAAATCATTATTTGTCATCACAGATAACAAAGTCTGGTTTAGACTTATGGCAACAGTTTATCCTTCCTTGCATAGGAAAAGTCCAAAACCGGCTGTGGTGGCTCTCTATATACACAGGATATTTCACGTTAGATCCTGCCTATTATAGTGATATTTTATATCCACCTGACGATTACATTTTTTATTCTGACAAAGATAATCACTCCTCACTAGCTAGCTCGTAGAGTCTGTTTAATGACCTGTCAAATCTCTTGTACTTCCCTGGTAATGTGAATGAAAACATTCATGCCCTTCAATCCACAAACGTTTCTTCCCATGCATACAAGGAGTGAAAACTTTGAGGGAATATACCTCATACAATACAGTAAATATATGGGTACAGAAATACTGACACCTGGTACAAGGTGAACTGCATATTTAAAATTCCTTCAGTTTGATTCGAACTGAAGATTCACTGATTTTGAAAGTCGTACATGCATGTGCTGTCGCTGCATGGGGCATAACACGTTGCTTGCTTTTATCTTCAAAACATTTTCCTGAAAGAAAAAATGAGCATCTCTAACCTCCATACCCTGGTTTCTTTTTAATTCACCTTTCTGGTGTTCGTATTACGTACAGTGGAGGACAAATAACAAAACTTAATATTCTATTCCTAACGCTATAAATATATTAAAATTCTTCCCTTAAGCAAGCATACAACACATAAATTTAGGTCAAACTTCTACCTCCTGTGTTCTCGCTACATTCTACAAATGCAACCATTTCAGCTGTAGTTGTCACATGCAAAGATGATTGCTTCGCCGTTTCCACGGTTACCACCGTTACCACCATGGCATGGAATCACTGGGACGTGAAATTTACGGAAAATTAGCGAAAGTAGAACAGATAGTAGTTTTGCTTCCATGTTAATTTATTAAAGCTGTGTTTCGTTTAAGTTTTAGTACGTAGTTTAAACGCAGAGAAATATTTCAAGAAATGATTATGATAAAGATATCCAGAATATTGGCAATGGCTCGGCCAAAGCAATAAACGATGGTCTGTAGAAGCTACATACGGAATACGTCGTTGAACTGAAAGAACTTTTTGTCCGCAGAGATGCCTAGTCAGGTTATGATGGTTTATGATGCCTTGAAGTTCCAGGACCGGTGCGGCAGTTATCAGACAGAATGGCGCATTATGAGGTGAAGTTCATATATCCTCTGCCGGAACCAAATATACCACATCATTTTGTGTTGCCATAAAATATGACATGAAGGCGAAAGTCGGAACAGTGGAACAAGTCGAGACGGTCATTGCTAGGCAGCGGCACGATGAACATGTATCCGCGGCATCAGGTACGGACGCATCAACAGAGGACGGGGTGCTTTCCATGCGGCCATCACTAGGCAACGCTGCAGCAGACATGTTTACTCGTCAACGAATCAGCGCTCAACAATACAGGAGCTGTTGGAAGATGTGTTTTCTGTTTGGTCCGCCCCCAGGCTATATGGCTCTGACTCGTGAGTTCTAGGTCGTCATTGGCCGTGAGGACTCGCCGTTTTTAGCAGCCAAGAATTGTATTGCAGAGAGCTGAAAAAATTTTCCTGCTCTAAAAGGAACCATGGTGAGTTTTTTGCTTG